GCCAAGGGACTTCTTCACTCTTTGGTACGTTTCTTCCTTCCAAAGTCCACAGGTCTTTGGCCACTCCTGAGTCAGCAGGACGTCCTGGCAGTGGTTCTGCAACAGCTTTCCTAGCGTTTTCCACGAAGCAACATGCTTCTTCATCTGCTCACGCCAGCGATGGCGAAACTTCGGTTTGTGCCAGTTCTTAAACCGAAAACTACAACCTGCAGTACACGGCGACGCTACATGGATATAGATCTTGGGCGGATTTCGTTTCAACAGACAGAGCAGAACTTCTCCTAAAAACAACTGTGTGTTCTTACTCAAGAAGTCTTCTTCCTGAGTGATGCCAATGTAAGCAACGCTCTCACGCTTGCACGCTGCACACAACGCACTATCACGGGCACAGAACAGCTCAACCACCAGCAAAGGAACAACCCCCATAGCCAAATCAACGGCTACTGGACGATACTTCAGTAAGTTCTCCGGAAGCTCTTCAAGCTTCTCGTGGAGGTTCTCAAGTTCCTCCACTCTCTCTCGAAGTTGTTCAGGTACACACAGTGTCTGCAAGTCTTCCTCACAGATCCGCTCAAGTCCACAAGCCTCCAGCAGATGCTGGAGCATAGCTTCTTCAGGACTCTTTGTGAGTCCGTCGCTCGGATTCAGGCATCCTTGGATGAATGTGAGACGCAGTCTCTCACTTTGAACAAGCTCTTGCAAGTACCGATGCCTCAACTCCAAATGCCGCACTCGACGCAGCAGGCCTTTCATCTTCGAAATAGACAATGCCGCTTCACTGTCAGACGACAGGTAAATGGGATACGATCCCGTGTCACCGGCAGGCAGGCCTTGAAGGAGCGTTTCCAACAGCAGGGACAGGTACACAGCTTCCTTGGCAGCTTCAGTAAGCGCGGCCAGCTCTGCTTCAGCTGAGCTTAAGGCAGTCACTGACTGCTTCCTTGAGAAGCACTTGATCATCATGCCATGCCAAAGGACAATGGCACCAGACACTGAACACACGTTCCACGAGGCATCCACATACCCCGAAAGCAAGGTCTCCGACTCAAAACTCTGGTCGACCCAGCCAAACGCAGAGAAGCGCTGAAGGTACTCAGGCAACGCCATCACCCAACGCACAACTCTTCTTAAACAGGCTTCGGCTTGGCTGTCAGGATCACTCTGAAAACGACCTAGAAACCCAACAGGATAAGCTAGGTGAGGAAGCGTGAGACTGGCCCACATGAGCTTCCCAAGCACACGTCGATACCTTTCGTACGACTCAGTGCTTATTGAACCTCCAGGTTCCTTCTTCCGGTACTCCCTCTCAAGGTTTCCCAAAACAGGCTTCACACCTTTTCCGCTGATCCCAAACTCTTCACCAAGCGACTTCAAGTAGCCCGGTTTCAAGCCGAACAACACAGGTCCAGCGTCCGTCACACGGACGATAATTCTTCCTAGAAACTCAAGTTGCCCTTTCTTTCCAGGCTCCAAGATCCCAGTCTGCTTCATTTTGTAAATCTTGGCCAACTGAGCATACAGCTCCTTTGCAATCTTTGAGTTCTGGGAGAAGATGATCAAGTCATCAACATACACCAGCACCAAGGTCAAAGAACCGTCCTTCTCGAGACGGTGGTGCACAGTAGGGTCCGCAGTTTCTCCAAACCCAAACTGCCCACGCAACGTGTTGGTGAACTCCAAGTACCAACTCAACGGCCCAACCCGCAAGCCATTCATGGCTTTGTGTAACTGAGCAAAAAGCGGATTGCCCTGATCGTCATACATCCCGTTCGGAAAACGGATGCACTCAACACCTTGGACAGGCGCCTGCATGAAGGCTACCGAAACATCGGCAGACAACAGCGTTCCTCCACGAACCGCGTGCACAGCAAGGACACCTCGTAAAGCTTCCAAGGAGGTCGTAGGGGAATAGATCCCGTCAGCCAGAGGGCTGGATCCAAGCGCGTAGTCACGCACAACCAAACGCGCTCTCACACGGTCAGGGTTTGTCACAGAGGGTTTGGAAGTTAGAACCCAACGAGTGGTGTGGATTCTTCGCACGGCCTTCTTCCGGGCCTCAGCTTCTCCAATCACGGTTGCCACACCAAAGGCATCTAACTCCGACAGCTCAAGCTTCATCCCTTCTTCAAGATGCTTCCTAGCGAGAACCTTCCCTGAAACTTCACACACCGCGTTATCTGGGACATGTACCCAGATTTTTCTACCTCCAAACTTCATACTGAACCACTCAGCGGGATTATCTCCCCTCCTCAGCTTCTGCGTCACACGAAGGTCAGGTCCTTCATAGAGCTGGCGAAGACCATACTCGTACAGCCAGGTCAGGCCATCATCCATGATATTATCTTCACCATCACCCATCTCAACATCATCCTCATCAAGGACACCACCAGGAGGAGGTTCGACATCCATCCCTTCACCATCAGCAGGAAGAGAGGGGGAATAATCTGCTAGATCCTCATCCTCCATCGCATCAGGAGCTCCAGGCTCTTCTGCTTGTCCCACAGGGAACTCTAGACTACCATCAGGCAACGCCGGAGGGTCAGGAGGAGGCTGAGGTGCATCCAGAGGCACATCAAACTTGATGGGTCGCTCGGGGTCCTCCCGGTTTCCTTTCAGTTGGTCTAGCACTGCTTTGTCAAACTCTACCGGGTCCCGGGCACGAAACGAGCTGAAAATCTCCAAACGAGGCGGCTTCCCATCTCCTAAGGGAACAAAGACACGTATCCCAGAGCCGTTGGCGCCATGGGGCCCAACGTAAATCGCCCTCACTAGGCGCTTTCCTCGATGCTCCGGATAGTCCTTTTGTGGCTTTCCAAAGCCTACCACCCCAAACTCACAACTCTTCACAGCTTGGACTGTAGAGCCCCTGAGGCGTTCCAGAGGCGTGCTTTGCTCCTTGGACACATGAAACAAGTTATGCATCCTAACAGCATACCGCATGGCTTCAATAAACAAGTAGCTCCCTAACGGCAGCTGCCCTCCTACACGCTCTTCCAGTCCTAGCCAAACAGACCAAAACGCTTCTTTCACGAGGCAAACGTTACGCTCAACAATGCCTTTTGCCTGGGGCCTGTTCACTGCAAACGGAACCCAATGCATGGACCGTCCTACAAACGTCCTATGCTTCGCAGAATCCCGGAACACACTCTCCAGGAGGTTTTCTTGGTCACCGTGGACCACAATGTCCAGCCCGTTGAGGCCCATCTCAGAAAGAGCCTTGCAAACGGCTGGTACAGGCACCGGGTCCTCAGGACCCAAAACAACAGTACTCAAGTATCCCGACAGGACGTGAACGATCAACAGAAACCGAACATTTCGACCGAAGAAGCCAAAATCTACTTGAAGCTCTCCCGGCGCATAGTGGCTCTTCATGTTCTTGCGTCGTGCTGGCACACGACCACGTGCCGACTGGCACACATCACAGAAACTCAGATAGGGCTGATGCCCTTTGTTCCGGTGCGCTCGCAAACGCTCTGAAGTAATGTATACTGGAACCTCAAGGTCTTCAGGAGGAGACAAACCTGAACCAGACGGCTCGGGACGAGGTTCGGGGTCAGGAGGGCCGGGAGGTTGAGGCTTCGGTTCGGGGTCTGGCAACAACTCTTCTTCAGACTCAACAGTGATCTCAACCGGCAAACCTGCAAGCATACGCGCCCTATGCACAACACGCTCGGACACAACATGCTCACGCACAACATGTGGGGCCTCAGGAATCCGCGGTGCTTCTTCATTGTGCTGCCCACGCAAGGCAGCAACTTTCTTAAGCACTTTGCGGACCAAGCACAACAACCTTCTCATCATCGGCCGTTGGACTCTCCAGGGGAAACACCGACGGGGATTCCGACCTTTCAAAGTTACTCGCACCCACTTGTGTCTCCTACGGCTTCCGAACCGCAGCTTCCTACGACCCCCGCTTCGACGCACTACCACAGCTACAGCACAGACTGCCAGCAGCACGCAAAAGCGAAACCCCGCAACCTTTGAAATAACCCTGAACAAGGCTGCGGCACACGATCTTTCTAAGGAACACCTGGGCAGAGCGAGACACTTTGTGGATCCATTCGGGTAGGGCGTAGCTTCGGGAACACTCAAGCAACACGCACCTACCGCACCACACTCGAGGTTACCTTCTCCTAAAGCACTGCACTCACGACAACCTACCGCTTCGGCACTGCACTCTAGACGTTCTACAGCTTCGGCACTGCACTCTAGACTGCCTACCACTTTGGCACCGCACTCTTGCACCTTTTTCGGGGAAGACACCGAAGAGCTCACTTTGAGTTCTATAGGTTTAGTTGTGCTTGCTAGCGGTATGCCGGAGGCTTTAAGTTCAAACTCAAAGGCCCTGAAAGACGTAGTATTTTCCAGGAGTGCCGATTTGTCTCACATAAGTCGAGTGAGACAACAAACGAAACAACCAGGTTGATGGGTGGCACGTTTCGCCCCCCCATCCAAACTGTCGTTACAGCAGTAGCAAGACGAGAGAACCCGAAGTACAGGATGACCAATCTGCGAATGCAATGGCGGAATAAGTTCGAAGTACTGCTGTGGGACCAGCGCGAGCACTTGCACTTGCGATGCATGAGAACCTAGTGGTCGCAACGAGGAACCTCCTTTGGCAGAGGACACAAACGACCCGAATCAGAAGGATACGGATATAAGCCCAAGCTAAAGCATTACCATTGCGGAGGTTCTTGAAAGAGGTGACACGGTGTATTGCAGCAAAAAGCGTAAGATAAACAAGACAAGCGATAATTGCAAGTAGAAAACACTGTTCAGCTGCTGATACTACTGGGACTGTGAGACGTGCCTGCCCCGAAGGCCCAGTTTTCTTGTTACGAGGTCTTTGTCGAGTTCTTTGGCCAGTGCCTTGTGAAACAGCTGTGCGGTCCTAGAACGCGCCAGTCGTGAATCCGCATAAGGGCGGGAGGGTGAGGAATTCGAAAAAACCGCCAGCAAGCACAACTAATACTGTGAGCCAAAATGTTCGCACACATAAACTATAAAACAGATGTGAACAAGTACACAAATCGGATGACGGGCCTCGAACCTAAGGTTGAGGCCAAAACCTCAGAAGAAACACACCGCCTCAGATCGAAGGTGATCGATCTCTCTTCTTTGGCGTAGGGGCTAGAGTTGCCCTTGCTGTTGGCCGTGGTGCTTTTGACGGCCTGGCTGAAGGTCTCACGGTAGGGCGGGGCGGTGGAGTTTGAGGCACAACCGACACACTCGGAGTGATGGGCGTCACATGCTGGCCCACAGCTCCAAACACCTGGCGCAACGGCCCGGTGGACCACGGATTGAAAATGCCTCGGTATCCTGGCGGTGGTGCTGGAGGCACTGGTCCCATGTACCCCAAGAAGGGCGGCGCCGGCGGGAACATGTGCATCTTCCCAACAACCTGCGGTGCTTGTGGTACAGGGCCCATTGGCCCAACCATCGGCGGCGCTGGAGGTCCCATGTGCCCAACATCCGGCACCTGCCCCACCTTGGGCATCGCCTTCACTTGAACAGCTCGGACCGGCGGCCTCAAAGCAACTCGAACCGCAGGCCTCGCAGCAGCTTGAGCAACAGGCCCCGCAGCAGCTGGAGCAACAAGGCTCACAGCAGCTTGAGAAGCAGGGCTCTCCGGAACCTTGGGCATCGCTTTCACCAAAGGTGATCGTTGGGGTGTCTTTGGAACCGCAGATCCGGGCGACACCGGCGTTGTCGGAGGCGTTCCTGGAGGAGTGATAGCTTCCACACTCGAAGACGACAGGCTGATCCGCCTGCTGGCTGGTAACTCCGGAGGAGTCCCAGACTCTACGGCTCCCTCGGGGGCCGCTGAACTCTAACTCCAAAGTAAGCAAATGCTTGCTCCTGAGCAAGCAGGGCTGCTTGGAGCTCTGCCTCCTTGCGTGCCCTCTGTTGGGGCGTCCACTTCTCGACAGCCACATTGGCGGCTGCCTTCGCCGCTGCCGACGCTCGCTCCTTCTCCGCCAAGTTCTTGCTGGCGGCAACCATCTTGAGCTCTTGCTCCCTCAGCAAAGCCACTCCTTCGGCGGCCTTGTCTCTCTCGCCCTCGTTGTGGTCCTTCTTGTCCTCGGCGACCTGGTCCTTTTCTCGTGCACGGCGCTCCTTGGAGCCTTTCTTCTTCTCCTTCTTCTTGTCCTTCTTCTTCTTCTCCCGAGGAGTCTCCGGTGGTGTCTCGGGCGGCATATCCGGGGGTCCAGGCGGCACCACAGGCGTCCCCGGTGGAGGCGGGCTTGCAGGAGGGCCTGGCACCGCCTTCCATTTTCCCCAATCGTCGGCCTCGTTGCCCTCCTGAGTGGGAGCGGGAGGCTCTCCAGAAGGCAAGGCCGGAGAAGTTAGGGAGTGAAATCCTCGGTGGAGCAATTCCTTCGAATCGCATCTGTTCATTGCCACTAGTTCTTCGGCCTCTCGCCTCTGCTCCACGCTGCGACTCAGCTGCAGCTTCTGCACCAACTGCTGTCGCCTGCTGGATGCCGCTGTCTGCATCGCTCTGAGATCTTGCCATCTCTCGGACATAACCATCATCTGGGCCGGCTCCTTCTCCTGAGCGACCCCTTCCGACGGCATCTGGAGCAAAAGGGTTCTCTTCTTGACACACAGTCCCCGTCGTAACGGAGATGACTCCATAGAGAAAAATCACCCACCGCAAGGCTCGAGACAGAACCGCGGCAGAAGAGATACGTTTCTGCTTGCTTTTACGTGTCCCTAATGCACCTGCACTTGCACACTCCGGACGACAGGCAGCTTCCGAAAACCCTGCACACTCACTCCTACAGGCAGTCTCCGAAAACCCTGCGCACTCACTCCTACAGGCAGTTTCCGAAAACCCTGCGCACTCACTCCTACCGGCAGTTTCCGAAAACCCTGCGCAAACCTTCACTGAAGCAGCTTCCGAACCACAGGCTCTCACAGTACTCTGAGGCGTTGGCGGCAAAGGCTCTACACTCACACATGCACTCGCACTCCTACCGCTCCTACGGCATGCTTCGGTGTGTGTGGTGCTTGCTTGCTTAAGCGAAACGGCTGCGGACGAAACACAGACTTCAGAACCTACCACACAACCCGCACACAGCTCTTCAGAACAAACTGCAGGCACTACCTCAGTCTCAGCTGCTACTTCTGCTGCAGAAACACACTCGCACGAAAACTCACTGCAAAAAGCTCGCAACAAGAACTTGAAAGGAGTCACTTCCAAAGCTCTCTGCGGATGCTTGTTCGGATGCGCCTTCTCCTTGGCGCGGTCCACTTCCGTTGCATCTCCCGTGTCGTCGTCTTCTTTCCCAAACTTCGGTGGGGTACCTTTGGGCACTCCTGCTTTGGACTTCGCTTTCGCCTTAGCTCTCGCGGGGCCGATCTCCTGGGCCATTGCCCACCAGCTCCTGGCTTCCGTCTCTAAGGGAACCCAAATCCAGGAACCCTTCCCATTCTGCTTCATCAAGCAACTCTCTCCGGGTGTGGCAGTGAACCAAGAACACCAACCCGAAAGCGACGCCTGCCAAGAACTGATCACATTGAAACCAATCTGACAAACCAGGACCTTCTGAAGCACTACAGGCCCTAGCCTCCCAAACTTCACACGGATATCGACCAACCCGAGGCATTCCATCTCGGTGTCGCTAGCACTCATCAAGACAGGCAGCGGTCCCGAATGCTCCTTCACGACTTCGTAAAACGACAAAGAAGCAACAGACAACACGTGGCACGTGGCTCCACTATCAACAAGCCACGCAAAGTGACTGTTCCTAGAAGAGGACTGGTTCAGCTTCTCTACTTCCTTATCCGTCATGGTGAGACGTGGGGGCTCAGCATCATTGGGCTCATTCTTCACTGCTTTCCCTGGGCGCATGCCCCTGAGACGATGAAATCTCAAGGCCATCACTTGCTCCGACGGCTCGTCTTCAACAGCGCGTCCCTTGGACTTCGCTTTCGGCTTCGCCTTTGGCTTTCCCCACTTTCCTTTGTCCTTGCCCTTCTCGCCCTTCTTGTCGCCTTTGCCCTTTCCTTTGGGCTCGCCTCCTCGACCGCCACCACCAGAGGGCTTTCCACCCTTGCCTTTGTCTTTGTCTCTGCCTTTTCCTTTGCCACCCTTCGGTGGTTCAGGACACTGCCAACTGTAGTGACCAGCCTTGCCGCAGTTCCAACACAAACCCTTGTCACCAACAGCGTGAAGGGCTCCAGCGTCGCAAAGCCTGGTCTGTTCCTCAAAGAACCGGATGCTCGTCACAAGCTCTTCCCAAGTTCCAGACTTGCCGTGCAAAACAACGTAATGCCGGCACTCAGGGTTGACAGATTGAAGCAAAATGGTTAGGCGATCCGAGCCGCCGGGCTTCAGCTCCGGAAAACGATGGAGCTTCTGATCCACTTTGCCCAGCTCATCCTCCAAGAACCGGACCACATCAAGTGGCCTCTTGTAGGTTCGGGCTCTGGCAGGCAACTTCAGGGCCTCATCTCTCACTGCAATTGCCTCCATTCTTGAGACAATGCTGAAAGTCGCATGCATTTGCCGCATGACTTCGTACCCACAAGCAGCTTGAGCTTGCCGCATGGACGTGCTTCTCACAAGCTCCATGCCTCTCTCAAACTTCTGCAAACTCTGTTGAAGGTAGTAAAACAACCGAGCAGACCTCGAAGCCACAGGAGCAGACATCTCTGACTGCTTGATCTCCCTGTTGTGCACCATTGCTTGGCGCAACTCGTTGACGTAGTTGTCGTCTATGAGCGCCAACCATGACGCCAAGACTTCACACCAACGGTGGTACTCTTCCAGCTCTTTCACACGCCCTTTTCCCATCGATGGAGCGTCGATGGTGGGCAAAGCAGGGAGGTACTTCTCAGCTCTGTTGCTTCCTACGTGCAACGACGGACCAGCAGACGCTGGAGGTGGAGGAGCAGTAGCTTTAGCTGACGGACTTCCAGCCGCAGCCGTCGAACCAAAGGGGTCCGCTACAGCTGCAGAGGCAGCCTCAGCTTCTCGCCTTCTTCTCTCATCTGCGTCCATCCTAGCCATCATGACCTGGAGCGTCTGCTGTTGCATCTGCATCATATTCAGCATCAACTGCTGCAGCTGTGGGTCCAAACCAACTGTCGTCGTCACTGCAGGTGGAACCGGTGCTTGCTGTGGCACTGGCTGCGGTGCCTGCTGCGGTCCAACAGTCGGGACAGGCTGAGGTCCTGGGTTCGACGGCTGACTCGCCTCTCCAGGACTCGGACCAAACAGTTCAAAGTCGTCCTCCTCAGGCACTGGGGTCGCGGCACTTTGGGCAGGGTCAGCCATGGCTTCTCTACAGCTACGAGCGTGCTACACACGCTCCGCTACCATGTGAAAACACAGCAGCAGCGCGCTGAACCCTCTTTTTCTCACGGCTTGAGCCAAAGTCAGCAGCCGGAGGCTTTGTCTGTGCAACTGGCCACAGATATTCCATGTGCCATAGCACTGCAAGTGAAACACTGCCCAGCCACGTGTTCTCCACAACTGCAAAACAAACTCAAACGTCAGTGGGAGTTCTCGGGACCGACTCAAAACTAGCGCAAGCAAAACTACAGCTACCAAGTCACTCCAAACGTAGTTACACCAAGGAAAACACTTCCCTACACTCTCAAGCACTTCAAAAGGCTTTCCACTGAAAGCAAGCTCGTCAGTCAAGCCTCCAAGGCAAAACTTTCAGCTAAAACGACTCACACCTGAGCAGGCATGCAGGACAACCAAAGTAACATGTCTTAAACATGAACTTTCACAAATCAAGACCATCAGAAGGAAAGAAGAGCAGCACGAAGCTTTTAAAGAGCATCTTGTTGCTGCGGCCCGAGCATGATGGGGAGAAGGCTGAGATTTCAGATGCCAATGACTCGAAACACGTCTGGATACCTTCCGCGTGAACATTCCCGCATAGGGGGGATGGCACGAGCCAATTGAAAGAAGGCTCTGCTGCCACATCACTTTCTGCCACCGGAGCTGACTATGTGCCGCAAACCTTGCCATGTGCCCGCTCCTTGTTGTTTCTAGTCTCGGCAAGGGGCAATAGCGCATTGCTTGCGTGAGAGATGCTTGAACGAACAATGAAGCTACTAATTATTTCGAATGCCGCCGACCATGGCGAGGAACACTGGTACAGTCTGCAGGCCTCACAGCAAAGGTTTGGAGACAACGGGAGTTGGTGGCCCAGCTATCGCGGAAAATGCCGGAACCTTGTTTTCTGGTTGAAAGGAATGTTCTCACCGCGGTGCACTTCTCCAGCACCAACTATTGTTCACAAGATCATAGGAAGCGCCGCGTTTCCAGAAGGAGGCTCCAAACTCGCCTGAAAGCTTTCTTCCGACAGATGCGAGCGAATCCAGGTGGCTTGAAGAGGATGTCTCTTGTCCCACACGTCCCAGGAAACATTGGTTCAAAGCTGACGTAAAGCGACCCTACTAAGACTGTGGACTGTGGCAAAACTCCTGACATTGTGTCCACTTTTTCGAAACCACGCTGAGCTGCCACTGTGGTCCATCCGATGTTACGAAGTCTTGGATCGCGGGTAGCGCCCCCAGAAGCGTTCGAGCTTGTAGTGCATGCGGAAGGCCGAGCAGTAGTCTCAATTTGAAGGCCTGAAGTCGGGATGTTGACGCACCCTGCGGCAAGCGACGAAGTGAAAGGCACAACGGAGGCCTTGACACTTCAACTGTGTAGGCTACCACCCCTATGAGGCCTGGTCAAGAGGCGTTGCGTCTTGCTGGGTCGTGACTCGAAGCCCACTCGATCAGTTGGAGCGGAGACCCATTTGTGGTCTGCCCGAAGCCCACTCGATCAACCACGAACGCATTCCGCTGATAGCTTCCTTGATTGTGGTAGCTCATGGTGGGTTGTCCTTAAGGAAGTTTGCAACAGTTTTCGAGGACGCTTCACTTCGCAATCCAGTCAGTATTTCCCAATTGATATATGGGACATTGAATATTTGTCAAAACATATTAAATTGCAGCAACCACGGACCGTCTTCATTTTGGCACACAAGGGGATGATGCTGCTGCCCAACTTCGAATGCCACGCGACGGGAATCTCAAGAGACCGAAGAGCAGCAATGCACACACACCCGCGCGAAGGCGGTACAATGATGGCCGCACGAAGGCTTCCCGATCACTGCCACAGTCTCTCTCCCGGGAGGGCGGGCGGGTGAAACGAAATTTGTGCGCCCAGCTTGAAGCACGATGCTGCACATGTGTCGCAATCATCTTCTGTGCTTTCCAAGAACGTGTGTGAAAACGAAAACATGAAAGTCATAAATTCGGAGACATGAAAATCATAAAACATAAATTCATTCGTCAATCGCAACTACAAATAGAGAGATACTCCGTGATGTTTTGTTTGTCACTGACAACGCAGCGCATCCCAGCATGCAGACACTCAAGCACCCACCCACACACACACACACACACACACGGAATGCTAAGTTGGGTTTCTTTAAGCGAAGAACCAGCACCGACGCCCAGGTCTCGAGTGACCACACGTCGGGAACTTTTGCCGCGTCAGCACATGTACAAGAATGTTGAAGGAGGACGGCAGAAAGAAACCCTGCCTGAACCTAACAACCTGCCTAAACTACAATGCGGCCTGAACCTCAATCCCCACTCCGAGCAAGCACTGTATGCCAAGTTGTCACGCACGCACTGACGAAGTTCAGAGTGGGGTTCTCGGCTTGGCCCCATGCCATATCCAAGTAACCAGAAATGGACCATGCTGCAATACAGGCATATGACAAGTAGGACGATGAATGCACAGCTTGTACTACAGAGGACGTCACAAGCAGCAGGTACACAGTGGAGCGTCCCCCACTGCATCACAGGCACTGATGAGCGTCTTTATTAGTGCCGGTCTCATCAGTGCCCCCGGCACCCCCTGCTATAACTCGGTCAATGCGAAATCAAAATCAGTGCAGAACGTGAGGTGAAGACCCTTGGACACAGGGTTGTCACACACACACACCCTGCCGAAGCGGGGTGAAGGTTGATGCGGATGCAGCAAGTAAAATCCGAACTTGCAAGGTTGGGTAGAGTGAGGCCAAATGTCAAACTCTGTAGACTGCTGGGTAGTTGGATGCACTCCAGGCTCTGGTCCAACTTCTCGCCAAATGTCAAACTCTGCAGGCGACTGCTGAGTAGAGGGACGCCCTCTAAAATCTAGTTGAAAATGCCAAGAAAATGGCTGTGGAAATGGCTGCGGAAAAGGCTGAAGCAAACAGCTGCGATAAAAGGAAGCTGCGGCTGCTGGGTAGCGGATGCCCTCCAGGCTCTTATCGACCTCCTCGCCAAATGTCAAACTCTGAAGGCAGCTGGTAGTTGGATGCCCTCCAAGCTCTGATTGAATCGCCGACCAAACGTTAAACTCTGCAAGCTGCTGGGTAGTTGGATGCCCTCCATGCTCTGGTCGAAATAGTCGCCAAAGGTCAAACTCTGCAGGTTGCTGGGTATTTGGATGCCCTGCAAGCTCTTGTGGAACTGTTCGACAAACGTCAAACTCTGCAGGCCGCTGGGTAGTTGGAGGTCTTGCAAGGTTGGGTAGAGTGAGGCCAAATGTTAAACTCTGTAGACTGCTGGGTAATTGGATGCACTCCAGGCTCGGGTCGAACTCCTCGCCAAATGTCAAACTCTGCAGGCTGCTGGGTAGTTGGATGCCCTCCATGCTCTGGTCGAAATAGTCGCCGAATGTCAAACTCTGAGGCTGCTGGGTAGCTGGATGCCCTCCAGGCTCCGGTCGAACTCATCGCCAAATGTCAAACTGAGGGCTGCTGGGTAGTTAGATGCCCTCCATGCTCTGGTCGAAATAGTCGCCAAATGTCAAAGTCTGAAGGCTGCTGGGTAGCTGGATGCCCTCCAGGCTCTGGTCGAACTCCTCGCCAAATGTCAGACTCTGAAGGCTGCTGGGTAGTTGGATGCCCTCCAGGCTCTGATTGAATCGCCGACTAAACGCTAAATTCTGCAAGCTGCTGGGTAGTTGGATGCCCTCCATGCTCTGGTCGAAATAGTCGCCAAACGTCAAACTCTGCGGGCTGCTGGGTATTTGGATGCCCTGCAAGCTCTGGTTGAATCGCCGACCAAACGCTAAACTCTGCAAGCTGCTGGGTAGTTGGATGCGAATCGCCAACCAGAGGTTAAACTCTGCAAGCTGCTGGGTAGTTGGATGCCTCCAGGCTCTAGTCGAATTGGTCGCCAAATGTCAAACTCTGAAGGCTGCTGGGTAGCTGGATGCCCTCCAGGCTCTGGTTGAACGTATGCACCACAAGCACCACAGGCATTGGCACCGCATGCTCAACAAGCCCCACAAAGTGTAGCAACACAAGATCCGCAGGCAGTAGCAACGCATGCTCAAAAAGCGCCGTAAGCTGTACCACCGCATGCTCCACAGGCGCCAGAAGCTCCGAAGGCAGTACCCAGAGCTTCCAAAGATGCTTAAATAATTTTTAGATATCTTTAATCATCTTGATTAAACACTATAGTGTCTATTTAAGCATGGTATGTAAATGGCAAAAACAATGCTTAATTAAGAAATGTTATTTTCTGTATATGCATCCCAATTATATACATGCATGCGGACGATCGACTGCACGTGTTTTTTCCTCCCAAGGATCACGTGCCGATCTCGATTCGAGGAACTTTATTAGCTGCCAGGAATCGTCTGAGAACTTGACAAGAAACAGCATTCATCGAAAACTTGCCACCACGCCGTCTGCCCAGCAATGCTAGGGTATGCCCATAGCTCTCATCCCTGTAGGTCCAGGTCTTGCTAGGGTTCACCTCGCCCCTGGCCAATTCGAACAGCTGATGGGCTTTAGGTTTAACCCTGAAGAGCTTGTCCACCTCGAAGTAAGTCTCGAGGCTGCCCCAGAGTAAAAGAAACTTCTGAGAAGAAACTCTGAAGACTTCCTTGTCCCAAGCTGCAGTGCTGAGACAGGCATATATGGACTGCAAAGCTTCTGTGCCATGCAACATCGCCTGTTCAGCAGGCTTTGCTGGCGACAAATACTTTGTAGCCAATTCCATGGCAGCACCGACGAGTGCTCGAGCTTCCCCTGCTTTGGCTCTCAACTTGGGGGATTTGATCTTGCCTCGATCCTCTTCACGAAGCATGGTGGGAAGGAGCTTCGGCAATCGATCTTGGACCCCAGCTCTGTCGTAGTATGCCTTGATGTCTTGGTACAGCTTGGCACATCGGATGAGTTTGCTCAGGCCTCGGATCTTCTCATTCTGCAAGTAAAACAGCAAAGACCCAAGCCAGTCGGATGTTACTCCGAGGTCGCAAGCGTGTAAAAAGTCCATCTTGCAGCAAGCCGTATTGAATCCTGGGCAAGAAAATAATCTCGACACCAATTGATTCTGCTGCCTCTGGCGCATGAAGAAGTCCATGCTGGAAATGAGAGGGTACCTGAGGCAAAGGCAACTGCCAGGAATAAGCGATCGACTTCAACTGTCTAGCATGCCTCACACGTCGAAATTAAAAGACAATTCTTTCCTGGTGGCGATATTTCGAGCCGGTTAATTGACTCCTTAAGTCGACTGTATCATGCTAGGGTATGCCAAAAGATATAAAACTTTGAATCTATCAATCCCAGATGCTTGGCGAAAGTCTGAGTATCAAATTTTTTCAAATCAGCTCGGGGGCACATACACCGCCAACAGATAAACCCCTTCGAACTCCAAGAAGGGAAGCTCAAAACGTCCTTGTAACAGCTCCAATCAGCTCGAAATTCAGCCAGAGCAGCTCTCAGTGGAAGCTTTTTGCCTGCCAAACGTTGTCGATAACTATCGGTTCGATTGAAGGGCATGCCATCGTGTCGGCAGCTTGGCATGCTCCCCGTCGCCAGCTGCTTGAAGGACCACTGGATGATTTCGAATACATCCTCAAAAGTTTGCGATTTGGATACAAATTCTTTTGGAAAGGCCGCAACAGGCAGGCGAAGATTCTGCTGGCCAAAGATGTTCAAAGAAATCGTCTCCAAAGTCATGGATCGGTCGCTGTTGAAAGGCACACCATCGCACCACATCCCCATGAGGAGAGTGGATTCAGAATCCAAGCCCAACTCATCCTCCAAAAAATGCAAGTGGTTCTCCAGGTCAGGCCTGTCAGGCAAGATCTCGGCTTGCTGCTGAAGCAAGGCCTCTGGCGTGTTCACTTTGAGCAGTGAGTGCAAGGATTCGTGAGGCAGCAAAATTGCCAAGGAATACTCTTCAGACGTATTCTTCGCCTGATTCCAGCCACGAACCTTTGCATGATATAACGAAGGCCATTTCGTGTTTCTGAAACATTTTCGCAAAAGATCCCGATGGGTGTTGCGAGTCTCTGGGCGGACCTGTAAATCTTCCACATGCAGTGCCCCGGCTTGCTGTGCTGACCGCAGTACTCGAGCGCTTCGCTCAGAACTGAGCTCATTGTTTAAAAATATGTCGACCATCTCGGACCTGAATCGTTTTGCAGGAGCAACGGCCTGGACATCTTCTGTTGTCAAAGATCTTTTGTTGAACATTGCCGGCAAGTCTCGAAGCGAAGCGAACCCTACAGAACAATGTCTGGACAATCAAAAATTAATCCAAAGTACATGCGGTTTTCACATATATACAGTATATATATATATATATATATATATATATATATTTATAAACATACACTGTCTTAGTATATGAATTTACTTAGATCGAAGTAGCTATGCGCACGTGCCTGTGCGACATGGGGCCGAGCCTGCAGAATGTAAGAAGCAACAGAAAGTCTGCAAGCACTCACGGGTCTCATAGCTGCAAACAGGCGAGAAGAAGCATTGCATGCACGCATTTTCTACCACTGCGAGGTCAGTGCAGCCTCTCCTGCCAAGGAGCTCCGTCTCAAGGCGAACTTGGAACAACACCTGTACTCCTACCGGATAATATCATCGAGGGTGATGAATCTCAAGCCTAGGGCCGATCACTCCATCAGGCCATTGACTTTCTTGAGCAAGGCCTTGCTGCCTTTGTCGTGGTTGGCAGCCTGGTCGACGACAGTGTGAAAGGTGGCCACAAGCTCGGTGCAATCGGAAGTAACATCCGCCGGCACACTCTCGGCCTCGTGCTGGCGAAGAACACCCAAGAAGTCCTCGAGAGCTGCGATCGCCTGATCGACGTCGTCCTTGCGATTATCCCATGTTTTGTCCCCGCTGTACTTCGTGGAAATCTTGGTCTTCAAAGACTTCAGCTCCTCGTTGTTTTGGGTCAGCTTTCTCTTCTCGGCCACGATCTTCTTCAAAAGATCTTTTGCCAGGGTATGGCTCTGGCTCGGCTGCAAAGCCGGATCCTTGGAACTGGAGCTTGCCGCACTCTTGCCCAACATGATGTCGAGGGACCTCTTGTCCTTCAACTGCAAGTTCTTCATGCCGGAACAATGGCTTCCCAGGGACTCCTCCGTCTTAGTGGCCTGGCGGGCCACCTGGCCTTTCGAGTGCACGTAGAAGTACTTGCTGAGCACCTCGAACTTGGGGTGAATTTTCGTCGATCTCTCATAGCCGTACCGCTTTTCGGCTTCGGACATCAGCTCTTCCAGCAGATCCTTCTTCATATCTTCCTCCAAGCCGCTTTCATCGATGCCCTCCAGCTTGAAAATTGCCGTCCTGCATGCAGTCTGCATGCATGCTCAATATAATCATCCGTTCCATAGTCGAAGCCTAGAGAATATAATCATAGAATAGACAATCGAACAAGAGCAAAAATCTGACAAAACTGCCACCGAAAATCCGAGTGTACCAGTTCTTCACGGTATCTTCGTGCTCACTGTTGGTATTCACGGTCGTCTTGACCAAATCGTGTACCCAATTACACTGACGGACGCCGAACTGTGAGACCTTGCTCAATATCTCTCTCTTGGTGGCAATGTCCCCCGCCTCGTACTCCTGCCAAGGAGCACCAGTGGAACGAAAACAAGAATCAAAACAACTGGCACGGAAGTACCGGAAGTGCAAGATGCAGGCGGTCCTCGAGTACTTTTTGGGCGTTTTGTTTCTCTTCCTCCGTAGTTTTTTTAGCTTTGAGCTGATAGCGAAGCCCGGTCAAAGCAGCTGAAATTGTGCCCCGAGCATACCCCAAGCCGCTCGGTGCCGTTGAATCATCGTCTTCCTCGCCCGCATCACCGAGCTCCACCTTGGCAGCCTTGGCTTTCCTCTTGGGGGTCGCCTGCTTTTCGTGCTTAACCTTAGCCTTGGCGGCCTTGCTCTTTGCAGCCATGGCCTTGGCCATCTTGCTGTTCTGCGGACCTTTGCCACCCTTGCTCTGGGCCGGCGCCATCAATCCGGGGAGGCTACAGGAATGCTACCCGATCATATATCGTGAGCTGAGCTCGATCTAAACATTGATTCAGCAGAAAATTCATGCGAAGAGTCGAGAACGGTGGCACACGAGTGCCATCACATGTTCACTGTTGCACACGGCATGCATAAGTTATTTCATTTTGCAAGACACCATCGCCTTCGCCGGCAGGTCAGAGCTCGTCCAAATCATAATCGTTTTGCCACCAATGCATGTCAGCACCTAATCTCCTAGCCAAGGAGATGGCACTTCCAGAGACCGAGCGACACTTCAGGAAGTATCTATCATTCCAATAGCCAACATAACGAGTATACCATTCATACAAGAACTTTTGGAAGCACTGCTCGGAGCAATCAAATGTATCGTACAGAAACCACAGAGCGAATGCACTCAACCGGGTCGTGAAAAGCCTTCTCATCAGCTGCAAAGCGAACAACGGCAAATGAAGCACAGGTCGCTGCCTCATGCCTCCCATGTGCCAGCTCAGTTGCTGTTTCATCCACAATCGAGCCTTTGCATGGCAGGGCTGGCCTGCAGAAAGTCAAAACTCTGCTGCCGAACTTGAATCCAAGAACCTGGCTGGGTACAGCTGCCGATGCCAATGCGGTGGAGAATGGTCGCTCTGCGGATCCGCACCTGGGTCTAGGAAGACCCCGAAAATTTTTAACAAGCTTTTTTTTAACAAATTTTTAACTGTTAAAAAAAATGGCTTATGAAGGGATTCCTTTCATAAGCCATTTTTTTTAACAGTTAAAAATTTGTTAAAAAAAAGCTTGTTAAAAATTTTTCGTCGCTTACCAGAATCTATCTTCACCCATCACTCCCCACAACAGACCTCAGAGAGAATTGGACACGAATCACAAATGGAACTGGCCTGGGTTCTGATCCTCCATGCTGCGAAGACCTGGCAATCGGTAGACGACATGCATGTGTACACGTGAACAAACTCCTACCCAGGAGCAGGACCACTCCTACCAAGGAGCAACAAACTGCAAACGTGATGCACACCAGCTGCCGACTCCTACCAACAAGCTGCAACCTACGAGCACTGCCGACCCAAACACAGATGCACACTAGCTGGCGACTCCTGCCAAGGAGTCCTTGTTTTTATCGTCTCCTTGCGGGAAGATCAATCCGGCGGAAGACACCTATGCTACAGCAGACACTGCCTCAACGGAGTTCGTCAGAATCCCCAGGGTCTTCCTGGGTTTCATCTGCAGCCGCCTGCTCTGCCTGTGTTTCCGCTTCGTTATTCTTCAGGTGCTTGTAGGCTTCATCAAGACCAATCACGTGTTCAATGGTCTCGGCGCCTTCCACCATGGATCGGAAGCTCTGCAGATGCCCCGAGCCGGGCTCCAAAAGAGCCTCGTCAGGACCCGCATCCACTGCAGCTGGCTCCTCAGCTGCACCACCGCCCTCCTGACGGGCTCCTTGGCCTGCAATCTGCTTCGCCTCGGCCTGCAAACAGAATGAACATGTGCTTCATACTGATGCGACTTAAGTTATAACAGATGCACTGAGCATCTGCAGAAGCTGGCTCCTACCTAGGAGCATATACCCTGATACCACAGAATTTAACCCAGGCCTCACGGATCAAACGAAGCTTCTTGGAGGATTCCGACGGAGCTCCTCCGACCCATCTGCCCTCCTGCTTCAGAGTCTCAATCTGGCTGGCGAGCCACAACTTTCTTTTCTTGCCTTTGCTCTTCTTGAAAGACTGCTGTTGCTCCTGAGAGGCATAGTCCCGCTGCCATCGATCCGAGCCCCAATAAGCCTGGGATTTTTTATCCATAAACTCTTCCCATTCATTGTACTTCTGCATGGCATCCTGGCTTCTGCCACTCTGCGGGCCGGGCCTCTCCCAGCTGGAGCTCGACTGCTGCTTGCGGCCGCCGCTCTTCCAACCACGGCCATAGCTGCTTGAATAATCGCCCCAAGTATCCTCACGGGTACTTTGCTCATTCGCAGCCGTGCTTTGCTCAGCAGTGTCACCGGCCCCGGTGCTTGGCTCCTCCACAGGAGCTTGCCCATACTGCATATACGGGTCATCCTGCACCGGCGGCTCTGCTTTCACAGGCACAAAGCGCCGTTTTTCCACTGCTTTTGCAAACCTCTCCGAAGCAGCACCCTTGGCCTGAAGCCTCTGCCACTTTTGGCCCTCCTCAAGGGCCACTTGGGCTGCCGATGCAGCCTTCTCCGAGCCATAGCTATGCTCCTTCTCCATCTTTATGGCTGACCTCAGAGCATGCCCCGCCTTGTGCTCCTGGGAAGCGCTTTCCCATGCATGGCGGGCCTCCTCATACTCGGAATAAGAGCTCACTTGATTTTTCTTCTCCAAGCCGAAGATGAAGGCATTCGCCTCTTCGTCGCTGGACACGACCTCCTCGATCCGTGGCCCGTCGCCTTCCCGAGCAGCCACAACCTGAACCTCCGGGTCCTCCGGCTCCTCCGAGTCCGCTTCCTCCTCCTCGAGGACGTCTTGGAGTTGTTGCTCAAGCTTGTTCTGATATACGCCGTCAGCGTAGCCGCTGTTCTTCCACGAGGTCCAGCTCCAATTTCGTTGCATGCTCGAAGAGCCCAGGGACCCCGAGGATGCAGTCTGGGCATTTGAACTCTGAATGGGGCCACGTGCCCAAAGATTGGTATTGGGCTCCTGACGCATGTAATACCACTGGCATAATATGTTGATACACACCCGCTTGCGGAGATAACTGCGGGTGCCGCACTTCGGACACATACGAATGTCCTGCAGGGCTTCAGGTGCATCTCGCTGCGACTTGCTCAACATAGCTGCAGAGCTACCAAGCTCAAAAAAGATATCGAGCAATCGCAGCTGCACAATACTCGAATCCTGACTGCTACCTCCTACCAAGGAGTTTTCAGCACATCTGTATGCCCTGCAAACAGCGATCGCCAGCAGATCTACATCTCACCTGCATCTCAAAACTCCTACCAAGGAGCTAGCATGCACTGCAATTAAGACTGCTGCACAGAAATGCAAACATATGCCGTCGCACCTCGATCTCGAATTTGAAGATCGACCGGGATCGCAGCTGCTGCCGCCAGACCTGCAAGCACAGCCAAGATTCTTTAACCTAGCTCCTCCCAAGGAGCTCATGCTTGGACTTCTGAACTGCTAGTGCATGCAGTCAGCAAAACAACACCTAACACCTGCACTGGCAGAGCACATGTCCAGATCTCAACATGTGTCTTCGGAACTTAAGCTAGCACTCTGAGGCCCGGACTTTACAAAGCAACAACGAAAACACTCATGCAAAAACGGCTGCAGCAACATCAAGTCAAGCATGTGTGTGCACCAGCAACATGATTCGTCAAAATCTCTGCACTTGCACTAGTGACTTAAGCAAACTATGCGAAACTGCAAAACTTCTGACAAAAATATTTTTCGTCCAATCCTGCATGCATGCAGCATGTCGATCTTTGCAATTCCATCCACCTGTACAATCGCTGATATACACAATCCTATAGCTCGATCGAAATATCCCCGCCACCCGCACGATTCAGGTCAGGGTTTTAACCGACTCAGCCTTCTTCTGCTTGTCTGCCAAAGAATCCCGGCAATATTTAATGCAGTCACTCCAAGCATCTGCTAAATTGTCGTACTGCGACCAGGAGTACTGGGATCGGCATTCTGTTGGCTTCTTAATCCAGAAAGCCTTGTTCCTCACAAGGACGTCAATGGCGATCCCGTCCGGCAGTCGAACAGTGTAAGAGTGCTTGCCCGAAGCATCGGCCGGTGGCTGAGCCTCTTCTGGCATTCCTGTGATATCATAGCCTTGGAACAGGAGTGCATCACTAGCTGCAGAATTTGCAGGCCTCGCCGCCTCGAGCTTTTTGTCAGGACCAGAATCGCTTGCTGCATCAGGAGACTCCTCAGCAGGAGCTGCTTCGGAATCCGGTGCTTCCTGCTCCTCCGGGGCGGACGACTGCTTACACTTGCCCTTCGCTTTGGCTTTAGCTTTCCCACGAGCTCGTTTCAGCTTCGGGCCTTTTTTGCCTTCATTCATCTGAGCAAGCCATAAATTCGGCACCTCCGATTGGAATGGCATTTCAGATGGAAAGCGAACCATGCAGAACCCCTCAGGTCCCTCTGAAAGTTCTCCTCTCACTTCTTGGCCATCTGGATTGAGTCTGATGTAGCATCCAGCCGCAGGGTCAAAATAAGCCTTCTTTGCTAGTCCTTTGGTCTTCGCTGCGGCCGGCTCCTCATTTTCCGACGAGCAGATTTCAATTTCGCTTTGGCTGTCATGAATAACACCAAAGTCATCAACATCGCCAGCTTCGTCTGCAAGCTCGACGTCTGCATCTTTAACCTCCTCCTCTGCATCTGTCCGATTAAGTCCATAAACCGACAAAATCTCTTTGGCGGACTCGGGACGTGCAGCCGTCTTGCGTCTCACTCTCCTCTCAGGAGAGAACAACAACCTCTTCTTCAAGTTGGAAGCCCGGGATGTCGATGGAACTTCGTGAGAACTGGCCTTCGAACTAGATGCTTTCGGCGAAGAATTGCAAGTGTCGGACAAACTCTTAAGCCTCTGCACAAGCCTCCAGAGCGCTGGCTCCAATTTCTTGCCAGTGGAGGTGCTCTGCATCTTGCTTCGAGCAAGAACGAAGCAGGAGCAGATCTTCTTGGCAATTTCCTGTGCATCGTCTTTGCTTATCTCAAAGGCCTGCATAATGCCATCCCTCAGGACATTCACTGTCGGCCTCAAAGTTTTTTCCACGATTTCTTGGATCAAGGCCTCATGCTCTTGCACGACTTTTGTATCTGCCTCTCTGAAAGATGCTATATCGATAGGTCGGTTCTTGAAATGAATCACGAAGCAGGCGCAAATGTCCTTCGCTGTAGCCGTGTTCTTCGCCCTCGGACTGCTTTTCAAATCGAACTCCATGCTGCCCGGATCTAAACTCTGTATATACTGCAAAACTGGTTAAAATTTAGGGAAGCTGCAACATGGATCATTATAATATCTGCTGCTGCATGTTCCACGCACACTGCACTGCAAGCTGCTTACGATGATCAGCTGCAAGCATGCATGCACACACCGCACAATTGTTCGGTTCTCGCAAAAAACATTGCCGCAACTCCCAAAAAATCCATGACAAACATTACATCATGCTCAACGATTCATCGATCGGCCCATGTAGCAAAAATGATCGATCTTGCAAGAAGAAATACCATGCTTAATTAAGATGTGTTATTTTCAACAACATTTAAGCAATGATTGTTTAATTAAGCATTGTATTGCTTAATTAAACAAGTAAAAGTGTTTATTTAAACAATTTTAACAAGAAACATTGTTTAATTAAGGTTTTACAGCTTAATTAAACAATTTTTATGTTGATTAATTATATAATTAAGCATGGTTTCCTTATTTAAACATCTTTGGAAGCTCTGGGTAGCACCGCATGCTCCACAAGCGCCGCCAGCCGTAGCGCCGCGTGCTACGCAAGCTACACAAGCTGTAGCACCTCATGCTCCACAAGCGCCGCAAGCTGTAGCACTGCATGCTCCACAAGCACCACGAGCTGTAGAACCACATGCTTCACAGCTCCGTAGGCTGTAGCACCGCATGCTCCACAAGCACCACGAGCTGTAGCAGAGCCGAAAGCTGCAGCACCGCATGCTCTGCAAGCGCCGCCGATGCTCCACAAGCACCACGAGCTCAGCAGACCACATGCTCCACAAACTGTAGCACCTCATGCTCCACGAGCGCCCCATGGCAAGCTGTAGCACCGCATGCTCCGCAAGCGCCGCAAGCTGGCGCACCGCATGCTCCACTAGCACCACAAGCTCCGCAGGCAATAGCACCGCATACTTCACAAGCGCCGCAAGCTGCAGTACCGCAGGCTCCGTAAGCGTCGTAAGCTGGAGCACCGTATGCTCCACAAGCACCACAAGCTCCGCAGGCAGTAGTACCGCATACTCCACAAGCACCGCAAGCTGTAGCACCGCATGCTCCATAAGCACCACGAGCTGTGGCACTGCATGCTCCACAAGCACCACAAGCTCCGTAGGCAGTAGTACTGCGTACTTCACGCACCGCAAGTGTAGCACCGATGCTCCACAAGCACCACGAGCTGTAGCACCGCATGCTCCACAAGCACCACCAGCTCCGCAGGCAGTAGCATCGTACTCCTCAAGCACCACAAACATCCGCAAACTGTAGCACTGCATGCTCCACAGGCGCCGCAAACTGTAGCACCTCATGCTCCAGCTGTAGCACCACATGCTCCATAAGCAACCCGAGCTGTAGAGCCGCATAGTTCAAAAGCGCCGCAAGCTGTAGTACCGCATACTCCATAAGCATCAAGCTGGAGCACCGCATGCTCCACAAGCACCACAAGCTCGTAGGCAGCAGCACCGCATACTCCACAAGTACCGCAAGCTGTAGCACCGGATGCTCCGCAAGCGGTCGGCGGAAAGCGTAGCCAAACGTCACTTGGAGCCGTTGAGGTTTTGGTTGAACTCGCCGCCAAACGTCAATTGCTGCTGGGCAGCTGGATGCCTTTGAGATCAGCCGAACGTCAAGCTCTACCGGCTGCTAGGCAAGCTGGATGCGCGTAAAGCTCTGATTGAACTCGCCGACAGATGTCAAACTCAAGCTATATTTGAAAGCGTAGCCAAACGTCAACTGGATGCTCTTCGAGTTTTGGTTGAACTCGCCGCCAAATGGGCAGCTGAATGCCGTTCAAGCTCTGGTTGAACTTGAGCTGAACGTCCAGCTCTGCCGGCAGCTGGGCAACTGTAACTCGCCGGCAAACGTCCAAATCCGCAGGCTACTAGAAAGCAGGATGCCTCCAAGCTCTGGTGCAAAGCGTAGCCAAAAGACCCACGGAGCGAAGCGCAGTTATGTTCATCCTGGTCTAGCGAAGCCAAAGACGAAGCGCACTTGCAGTTTTTAAACAACATTGTTTAAACCACAGTTTTAGCTTGTTGCGATTTTACAACAGATTCCGATTTTCATGGTTCGATGCTGTTTTTCGCATCACGATTTCCAGCATGATGCTTCGGTTGATCTTGTGCGATTTTGAATCATGTCATCCGGCGGTGTGTTCAAGGCTGAGATTGCCGGAAATTTTTCAAGGAGCCCTGGGGACTTTGAGGTCCTTCTTTAACTGCAACAGGCTCCTCAAACTCAACCGGCGGACGTTTGGGGCTAGCCCGTCGTTGCAAGCTGCTCTCTGATAGAGTAGCGGATGGACCCGGAGTCACTGTCGCGACAGCGAGCGTTGGGGACTCTAGCTCTGATTTCGAAGCATTAAGTGCCCATTTGCATTCGCTACAGCTTTCTTTCAGCATTCTCGAATCTCGCCTCAGGGTGCTGGAGGACCGCTACAGTCTCCTTGAGTCTCAGGCAGGGCAAGTCCGTCTCTGTCCGACTTTCCCTTGCATAACGTTTTCCTGGAGCCTTGCGGCTTTGTTGCCGGCGACTTTCTTGAGAACACTCGTGTTGCCTAAGCTTCTTTTGCGGGGGATGAGGCTGAAGCTTTTTATCCGGATGAGGGGGGCCGTCTCGCAGTCTGTTGAATCAGGTCAGCAAGTCCCTCTGTCTGCCATACCTGCCAGCCCAATATCTCCGAATTCGGCTGTGTTTGAGGGCACACCTGATCAGAGTTCCTTAGTGGCCTCCATGAGCAACCCCGCCGAGGGTGATGATCTTACTGAGAAGCAACTGGGGGGCCTGATGTCTCGCGAGGACACACAACTTCCCCCTGACGACGACCCGACTGCGGACCGATTGGAACAGCAGCTTGCCAGGCTTCATTGCCTACGGCGGCAGCACAGGTGATTGGCATGCCACAGGTTTCATTCTTGCAAGGCATTCCCGTCAGGCGATGCCGTGGGAAAGAGTGACGAGGCCCCGCTTGGGGCCTAGCTTCATGTTCCAGGAGCCGTTGCTAGGTCGTTTCGACGGTCTTAGGAGGGCGGCGATCCCCGCCCCTGCAGCAGGGCCGTGGGCATGGGTGCCCAAAGGAACTTACGAGGCCAGGCGACTTCTCGCAGCCAGGTTTGCCAAAAGCGATGACATGCTTAGGCTTACCGCACTAAAGAAAATTCGGCTCATCGTGCTTTTCTTCCCGGATGATTCGGAGCTTGGAAGGAACCTCGTGGGTTCTGCAGGCTCCCTGGTGGAGGAATCCATGCTGACCTCGACCATCGAGGACACTTTTTCAGGCAGAGCCGCCAGCACCCTTCTGAAGCGGGCCTCAGATTTCTCAAGGTTTGCCAAGTGGATCGTAGCTAACAAAGGGCGCCCGCTGGCGCCGTCCGAAGGCGAGTTGTATGCTTACATGCTTCACTTGCGACGGGAGAAAGCCGGAGCCACCGCCGGCGAGTCTTTTCTCAAGGCCTACAAGTTCTTTGTGCACTTGACCGGGGCAGGGACAGGCTCCAGGATTTCCCCTCGTGTGCAGGGAGCAGCCAAGGCGATGTCCCTGGCCAAACGGCCGCTCTGGCAAGCACCTCCACTTCCGGTGGAGGCAGTGCGGCTCCTGGAAGAATTGGTTCACGAGTCCGAGGATTATGCCAGGGCCAGCATAGCAGGGTTCATTCTTTTCTGCCTCTACTCCTCGGCTCGATGGTCGGATGCGGCTCGAGGGACTCACTTGAGCATTGACGTGGCAGGTAACGGGCTTGTCCTTCTTGAGTGTTCGACCAAACATTACAAGACGAAGGCCAAGGACCGAAAGGATACAGTGCTGCCTTTGATTGCACTGGGCAGCGGCCTAACTCAGCCCTCATGGGGACGTGTCTGGATGCGCAAGAGGGCCCTGGCAGGGCTACCAGACTGTTCCGTAATCATGCCGGCCATGTCGCCGGGAGGGAACTTTCTAGGAAGGGCCATGACAGCTGCGGAGGGTTCCTTGTGGCTTCGTGAGTTTTTGCACTTGCAGGGTTTCGCGGGGGATCTTGAACAGTACAGCTCGCACAGCCTGAAAGCAACCGCCTTGTCCTGGACGGCCAAGAGCGGGACCATGACCTACGAGGAGCGCCTTACCCAGGGGCATCATTGCAGCCCAAAGCACGGCATGGCTCTCCTGTACTCGAGAGATGCGCTTGCAGAAATCATAGTGAAGGTAGCCAAGGTCGTGAGTGCTGTGAGCAGGGGAGTGCTTAGTCCCGACCTCCCGCGAGCCGAGAGGGTCGCAAGAGCTCTGCATGGCGATCCAGCAGATTTTGCACATCTTCCTGAGACGACGGCTGAGGATTTACCGGCCGAAGAGCCTCAAGATGAAAACAACTCCGAGGCCGGGTCTGACATAACAAACCTCGACGGTCTCGAAGTGGACCTGGGGGCACCGGCCCCGGAGGAGGTCCGTCCTCGGCTCAGCTGCACGTTCTCGGGAGAGACCTACATGCACGTCTTGAGTGGAGTGGTGCATAAGTTGGTCAACCCCGGAATTTTTAAGTGCGGAAGGAAGGTCACGGCGAACATGCGTTTGATGGGGCCTGAGGAGGCTCAGGAGAATGTCTGCCAGCAGTGCGCAGCTTGAAGAAAAGAGGATGTGCTCAGTTGATCGTTTGCTGATTTGCGACGTCGTGCCTATGCCATTTGAGATGAAGGTGCTCGGGCCGATTGGGATCAGTTGGAGTGTTTCTTGCTTCGGAGCACAAAACCGGACTGAGAAGTGTCCGCAGTCTTTTGGCTGGAAGTTGCCAAACTGGGGCGAGTCTCCCGCGCGGCCTGGTGAGCACCCAGGCTTGAACTTAGCGGGAGTTTGATTGGGGGCCTTGAGATTGCAAAAACCCCCGTGGTCGGCTGCCTTTGCCGGCCTGAGTCATGAAAAAAACGATTGGAACGCGGCCGGCTGGGATCGCCGGTTCCCGAAGGCCGCCTGTGATCGGTGGCAAAGAAGTGTGAATCCGAGACAAACGCGACCCACGGTT